ATTTTGTTCAGATAGAGTGGGAGGGAGAAAGAGAGAGAGAAATATCGACATAGGGCCGGGGACAAACCGCAACCGAGGTATGCACCCCTAGCGGGAACTGAACCCGGGTCTCTCGGGACCGCAGGCCGACGCTCTAACCGCTGAGCCAAACCGGCCAGGGCTGTCTTGGCCTTTTAGAAATAAACTTTACTAACCAATGCACTGTAAACTTAACCAAGTAAACATTCTATTAAGAAAATTACACATTGAGCCCTGGCCGGTTTGGCTCAGCGGTTAGAGCATTGGCCTGCGGTCCAGAGAGACCCGGGTTCGGTTCCCGCTAAGGGCATGTACCTCGGTTGCAGTTTGTCCCCGGCCCTGGTTGGGTCGTGCGGGTGGCAGCCACTCGATGTGTCCCTTTCACGTCGACGTTTCTCTCTCTCTCTTTCTCTGCTCTATCTGAACAAAAAGTAAAAAAATGTCCTCGGGTGAGGATAAAAAAAAAAAAAAAAAAAAAAAAAAGAAAATTACACATTGAGGGGGAAACCCTACAAAAATGTGACAATGATCCATCTTTCCTAAACCTTGATAGCAGAAATTTCATGACCCCCACATCTCCAAACACAAGCAGCCTTCCATATCCAAGGGTTCCATATCCACACATTTAACCAACCTGGGATGGAAAATGTTCAGAAAAATAAAGTTACATTGTTGCTGATGTGTACTATGTAGTTAGAGCCAAGACGGCTGCATCTATCCTGAACATGTACAGACATGTTTGACATGTTTGCCACTATTCCCACAATGATACAGCATAACAACTCCTTACATAGATTTACACTGTACTAGCTACTATAAATAATCTACAGATGATTTAAAGTATTCAGGAGAATGTGCATGGGTTTATATAGGGGACCTGAGCATCCCCAAATGTTGATATCTGAGTAGGGTCCTGGAACCAATCCCCTGAGTACACTGAGGGAAGACTCTAGTTCCTCAAAGTTATTTAAACATTTTGAAAAGGGAGTCAATGAACATCTGCGAGATGTTGTCGATATGAGTCCAGCTGGTGTGGCTCAGCGGTTGCGTGTTGACCCATGCACCAAGAGGTCACTGGTTTGATTCCCGGTCGGGACACATGCTCAGGTTGTGGGGCTTATCCCCAGTGAGGACCATGCAGGAGACAGCTAATCGATGTTCTCTGTCATCGATGTTTCTATCTCTCCCTCTCACTTCCTCTCTTTCTAAAATCAATAAAGGAAAAAAATTTTTTAAAAAAAAAGTTGATATGATAAAATACAGTATTCCCCCTTTATCTGCTGTTTCACTTTCCAGTTTCAGTGAACCGTGGTCAACCGTGTTCTGAAAATATTAAATGGAAAATTCCAGAAATAAATAATTCGTAATTTTTACATTTCGAGCCATTCTGAGTAGTGTGATGAAATCTTATGCCATCAAGGATGTGACACACCCCTTGTCCAGGTATCCACTCTGTATCACTACCTGCCCAGTCACACAGTAGCCGTCTGTCTCAGTGATCAGCTCGACTGTTCAGGTATCACAGTGCTTGTGTTCACGTAACTCTTACTTTACCTAATAATGGCCTCAAAGCACAAGAGTGGTGAGGCTGGTAATTCGCATATGTCAAAGAGAAGCTGTAAGGTGACTGTTACAAATCATCAGAAGGTCAATAGCAAAAGAAAAAAGAAAGGTCAATAGCAGCCTAATGCTATGTCACAGTACCTACAGCATTCACCTCACTTCAACTCATCACAAAGACAATGTCACATTATCACAGAAGAAAGATGAGTATAGCACTATATTTTGGGAGAGAAAGAGACTATAGTCACATAACTTTTATTATAGTATATTAATTGTTCTACTTTATTATTAATTGTTGTTGTTAATCTCTTATTATGCCCAATTTATAAACTTTACCATAGGTATGCAAGTATAGGAGGAACACAGCATATACAGAATTTCAGTACAATGGTTTCAGGCATCCACAGGGTCCTGGAGTACCACGCCTATGGACAAGGAAGGGCACCTATGTGGCATAACTAGAGTAACTGCTTCACAAACTCAATGCTCAAAAAACACATTCTTGGTATTTGTAAAAGATGAATTTACAACAACACACATACAAACTAGTCTTGTGGGTGCTTATACCCTCTACTGACATTTTAAGAGTTTGTATAGATGTATATATAAGTTATTTGGTTTACTAAAAATATTTTCTAACATATGATGCCAAATTGCTATCTGTTAGCCCATCCCTCCCTTTCCTGATCCCCACGAGTCAGAATGTACCCTCACAAAGAAACATCCATGCTTCAGTGGTTGCTACAACCTGCTGACAGATTAATAAAATAATAAATTATTGATGTACAATATAACGAATTCCTCTAGATAATAGATTAATTATTACAGATATAGGTTCTAGGTTTTTATGTATTTTAGGTGTTCTTTTTTTCCTTCTGAGACAGTCTTCCAACTACAAGTTGCTGTGAGTCATGTAAACAATGACTAGAAACAAAAATACATATATTGTTTTATAACATTATTAAACAGGGCTAAACCTTTGAAGGCTGTAAAGTAATAAACCACATACTTCAAAAAATAGATACAAACAGGTCACAAGTAATATAATGGTCTTTTATAAAAAAGCTTAAAAATAAAATCATATACCACTGGAAACCAATTTTTTTCCTGATTTAACACCATGATATATAAATAAAGTTTCTGATGAGGATTTACAAGAATATTATTCTCATATTGATTCTAATTAAAGAACACAAATCTGATGTGTGGTGTCAGATCGGTACCTGATTTATCACTTTGTTAGGTATATAAATGTCTAATCACTATGTTGTACACTGAAACTAATATAATATTATATGTCAACTGTACTGAAAAAAAAAAAAACTTTATAAAAAGAACACAAATCTGAAAAGTGCCAATCGCAACTTAAGGTTTAGTATTTAATAAGAACTAAATATGCATACAATTCATACAACAGATTTTATAAGTTAATGAGGTTTACCTTTATTTCCCCAAATAAACTTTTTTGGTTTGCGAATGTAGCTTCAAAATAGGACAAATCAAAGCTATTTTGATTGGCAATGATTTCTTACAAAAGAAGATTCTTTCCAGTTTAAAACTATTCATGTTTTGTAAAAATTACCAAGCAATGTATAAATGTTAGGAGCTAAAAGCATCCCAAGTTTTATTACACTTACATAAAAAATGCTCCGAAATGAAAACAAAAGCAGTACCAGTAGCAAACAAACATATTAAGTGTTCAACAGAAACAGTTTCAGACCTACTTATCAAATTGTTGATTATCTTGGTCTTCTTCTCTCTTTCTATCACTAATAGATATTATGGCCCACGGTAAAAATTCAAAATTAAAGTTTGTTTATTTATATATAACTCGGTATTAAAATTAGAGCTATTAATTAATGTTTTATTTTAGGTGGACTATAATAACCAAAACTTTTAACCAACTATTTTAAACTTTAACATACAAGTAGAGGAAAACAAAAGTTTTATATGTATTAATCTAGGGAGATGGTCATGCATAAACATTCAGGTTCTGGAGTCAGGTTGCCCAAGTTCAAATCTAGACTCCGATGCTGACTAGCTTTGTAACCCCAGTGAAATTATTCTCTCTCTTTAATCCCTCATCTATGAAATGAAAGTAAATATTGTTCCTTATAAGATAACTATGAGAACTGAATGAGATCCCTATGTAAAGCATTGTGGGCATTATAAGCACTTGGTAAGATTTACAATTATTAGCACAAGTATGATCACATCTTCTACAATCTTTATGCCTTGTAGGGAAGAAGGAAGCTAATATCCCAGGTGTCTCATTAAACAACTTCTCATATGTAATTCTGATTTTCTTCCTATACATGTGCACACACACTCAAGCATATTTTTGGGTAAAAGCATTACTCATTGTGTGGAGATGGTGCTATGGACTTGCTATGGTCTGAATGTTTGTGTACCCCCCAAAATTCATGTTGAAATCATAATGCCCACTGTGATGGTATCAGAAGGCGGGATCTTCAGGAGGTGCCTAGGTCACAGAGGTAGAGTCCTCATGAATGGAATTAGTGCTCTTATAAAAGAGAACCTACAGAGCTCCCTAACACTTTCCACCATGTAAGGACAGAGCAAGCAGTTGTCCGTCAGCAACCCAGAAGAGGGCCTGGACCAGAACCTGATCATGCTGGCACTCTGATCTCTGACTTCCAGCCTCCAGAACCATGAGAAATAAATTTCTGTCATCGATAAGCTAACCAGTCTGTGGTACTTTGTTATAGCAACCTGAACAAACTAAGAAAGGACTGAACTGTGCAACCCCAAAATTCACAGGCTGAGGCCTTAACCCCCAGTGGAATGGTATATTTGAAAGGGGAGCCATTGGGAGGTACTGGGTTTATGAGGTCATGAGGGTGGGCCCCTCACAATGGGATTAGCATCTTTATCGAGAGACATGGGAGAAGCTACCCCTCTCTCTCCACCATCTGCGGACACAGCAGGAGGCAGCCATCTAGAAGTGAGGAAGACTGCCCACATCATAACCCAACCATGCTAGCACCATGACCTTGGACTTCACAGCCTCCAGAACTGAGAAAATACTTTTCTGTTTAAGCAATCCTGTCTATGGGTTTCTGTTATGGCAGTCCAAGCTGACTAATACAGGTGGTATTTTCAATGTTTAAGCATATAAGGGAAAATGATTCTAAGTTTTTATTTTTTTAAGTTCATCAGACCCATACAAATTCACAGTGTGCACAGTTTCAAAGACTGCAAGGTAGGCCAGACTATGTCATGGTTAGACAGACATTACACTCCTGCCTACAGTGTAATTTCTTTTTAAGAGCACAATATAAATGTTTCTTATTTTTCAAAAAGCTGCTTGAAACAGTTCTAGTTAGTTAAGCCATGGTGAGACAGACATTACACCTATGTCTACAGTATATTCTAAGTTATAACTTAAGGATTCTTACCTTTTGTATCTGCCCGAAACTGCTCTAGATGGCTCCTGTGAAGTAAAAATAATAACATATCAGTTTGGAGGTGTGTGCAAGCACACAATTCCAGATTGCATAAAACAGCTGATCGGAAATATCTGAGTTTGCAAGAAAATAAATTGGAATAATTACCATTACTTTAAAAAATTCACACTGCTGGTCAAACAAAACAAGATTCTACATCTAATATTTCAGACAAAAAAAAAAAAATCACTTTTTAAAAACTGTATTGTGTGGTGGTGGTTGTTAATCGTTACCCAAGAATATTTTTTCCATTGATTTTTTTTTTTTTAAGAGAGAATGGGGAGTGGGCATCGATGTGAGAGGGACACATCGATTAGTTGCCTCCTGCATGACCGAAACTGAGGTACGTGCCCTTGACTGGAATCGAACCCGTGACTCTTAGGTCCGAGGGCTGCCGCTCTTACTGCTGAGCCAAACTGACCAGGGCTATGCCCTCAATTTAAAAAACAAAACAAAACTATAATTCACCACATATATATAATAACCACTGCTTATTTTTTAAGACAGCTAAAAATAAAAAGTAAGAATGTATTTTTTATGCTGATTCTAAAGTACTAAAAAAATTACTGTAAAGTTAATATTAACCATTGGGGTACCTAACCAGTCAGTCAGTCATTTCTCTGTTCAGTCTTTTAATAGCCTAAGTTCTCCCAATATTATTACAATATCATTTTAATAAAACCGGTCAAAATTAACTCTTTTTTCTAGTTAATCATTAAAAGTTTCCAAGAGAGACCCTACAGTGAAAGAATTTCAGATATGATCCAAGTCAGAGAATCATCTCCCTTCACAAGATGACCAGATTCCAGACGGAAACAGCAAGTGCTGACCGCATGGTGCAACCAAGGAAACATCAATGTGGGAACTGTCCGCACACCTCATGGTTAGGATAAGATTTAGATCCAAGTGTCAGTGCTACAGGTCAGTCTCAGTTTCTTCATTTTCAACAAGAAATAACAACAATGTCTATTTTATTGGATTAAGTGGAAATTAAATTATATAAGTGGGTAAAAAAAAAATTAGCATGACTCCTTTGTAATTAACCAGTTCTTAGAAGTAATCTGGTGACAGGACAGGGTAAACACCCGTGTGTGTGGTTTGACTTGCTTTGACAGTAAATTCAAGGACATTTTAACCCTCCCCTGGGCATCAGCTGTTCTTTACTTGCTAGGCTAAGAAACTTTAGAGCAGTGATTTTCAACCACATGCTGCAAGAGTTTTTAAAACATGCAAGATCTAACTTTTTAGTCAGAGGCACTGACCTCTTTTCCCTTAGATTGTCAAATAAAAACAATGACAACAGGCATCTGGTGTGAATGAATCAAAATTATACCTTTTGTTTTTGTCAGATCGGCAAAAAAATATATTTTGTGTGTGTCACAGAATTTTAGTAATTAGTTTATGTGCCATGGGATGAAAGAGGTTGAAAATTGCTGCTTTAGCTTTCCTTATGTGCCTGTCATTAATGTAGCAGCCCCTAAAAGATAAGGCAGATGAATCCTGCTACTTTGTACACCAAACATGTAAAACAGTTATCTTATTTATAGAAATTTGAAATCTCTAGTGAATACCAAAGAATATCCTTTACAAAATTTAGTTTTAAATTATTTTTGAAACCATAGTAACTATATTAAAATGTTTAATCACTGGTCACTCAGATAAAGCAGAAAGAAATATTAAGCTTATGTGTATCCACTCAAAATACATTTCATTGAATGCTGGTGATGATGATCTCACATATAACTTATTCCCCTAAAGGTTCACAAACAGTAGTTCAACTAACATTTTATAAAAATTTTCTCTTATAAAAATTCCCTAATCTTATTTTATATCAACTAAAACTAAGGCATATACTTAAATGATACCTGTCTAAATAAGCATTAGGAAAAAATGCTAATAATGCCTTAAGTTCCAAAACATCATCTCTCTCATTTCAATTTTAACTGAAATATTTCAAAACATGACATCAACTTGACTGCCCAGACTACCTCTTACTGAAACGGAGTCAGCAGAACTGCTGATGGAAATAACCCTTTTTGGATTTACTGATTTGTGGGTTACTGACATACAGATTGAAATGGCATAAACAACTTGGCAATAAATAATATTCCTGAGGCTTAAAACAGGCATTTCCCTAATGTGGTAAAACTCTGACCTAACACAGTTTTAGAGCACAATTTTAACAAATCCAGGAATGGAGGGAATTTTCAACAACAATAAACGATAGTGGCATTATACTAATTTTACACTTTGGCCCAACTATAAATGAAGTCAGTATCAGACAAGTTTCCAGGTAAGTATAGTAATAGAAAGTTAGTAATACCAGTTTTCTCCATTTCTTACAGCTTTAAAGAAAAAAAAAACAAAAAAAAACTGGTCACTTACAACTTATCTCAACTAAGTCTTAGACAGTATTTTCTATAGAGCTAGAAGTTAGAATGCTAACATACTTGATCAAATCACTCTTTGCTCATGTCCAAGATGTGTAAACAATTAGGATTTAAGCTTATTTCTATATAACTAATACTTCAGCCCTGGCCGGTTTGGCTCAGCGGTTAGAGCGTCGGCCTGCGGTCCGGAGAGACCCGGGTTCAGTTCCCGCTAAGGGCACGTACTTCGGTTGCAGTTTGTCCCCGGCCCTGGTTGGTCGTGCGGGTGGCAGCCACTCGATGTGTCCCTTCACATCGATGTTTCTCTCTCTCTCTCTCTTCCTCTCTCTCCCTCCCACTCTATCTGTACGAAAAATGGAAAAATATCCTCGGGTGAGGATAAAAAAAAAAAAAAAAAAATAACTAATACTTCAATAGTTAAAATTCTGATGCAGGCAGACAACAATTAAGTTTATTTTTTACTGGTAGATTTGAATATGGTCTTTTATTAGATTACCAATTTTGCAGCTAAATGTTACTTCACAATGACTCTAGTGATCAAATTACATTTCTTAACAATGAATTTGTTCCCCATATTAGATTGACTATATTAGTATTAGTATAGATTGAAAGGGTGGTAGTTTGCTTATCATGTGTTTTCAAAATCACTAATTACAGATGGAGTTAAATGATCCCTTTCCAAAAAGAGAAAATTGGTCATATCTTGACAATGTCAGGTAAAAAAAAAAAAAAAGTCAACCCCTACCGTGCAATAAAAGAGTCCCTTATAACTTGAAGGAGGAAAATACTTGAAATTTCTATCCATTAACACAAAATTCTATATAAATACAAACACAAACTCCACCTTAGATATTTTTAACTAGAAGCCTTTATATTTCTGTGGCCACAAGGATTTCCAAGCAAAGGTAACAATTTAACAATTACTGTTAGTTAATTTATTCTAAATATTGGGGTGGGGGGCAGAAATACCAGTATAACTAAAATTCCTTGCAAAAACGACGACTGCTAAGCTGATATTGGTCTTTAAATTTTGTTTCAAAGAATACGTAATTAGACCTTCAAATAACCCCAAAGCCTGTTATACAACTGACTTAAAATACACTTTTCCTGGAGTAATCTTCCTTGTAATGGGGTTTATATTACTAAAGGTGGGGGGGGGGGCGATATAGAACTTAGAAAATGCTGGCAAAGCAACAAACTGTTTTGTGTAAGTTTAATCAAAACATTCCACTACATTCAAGCTGAGAATGGTCAATAAGGAAATCCCATAAACGCTGCCTTTACAGATGAGTGGCTGATCAGAACTAGTCCAGGATAAACAAATACAAAAGTACATGTGATTCAGGAAGATCACACAAACACAGGCCCAACAGAACGTGGCAAAATAATTCCTAAGTTATTAAACTAATTAGCAACACAGCCATAACCCTCAGTAAACTTATGGCGTAACATGCTAACTGGCCCTCAAGACTAACTCAAAATACCTATATTGGTATACATAATGTAGCAAAAGAGATTGTTGAAGAGAAGTACAGAACAAAATATAATGTGTAAAATTGATAAAATAACTAAGACAATGAAAAGACAAAAACTTTATCAAACTAGCAAAGATTTTAAAAGGAAAAATCTATAATTCATCTTCCTTTCCTGAACAATTCAGCCCTGATATCCAAATACTGAAACCCTACATGAAGAAGAGCTGACTGGCAGAGAACCAGAGTCCAAGCACACAGCAGTGTCCCTAGAGCAGGGAGGAGTTGCCTGGCCAGAGAAAGTGGCTGCGAAAACAAGCAGGGTGTCTCCAAAGCAGGAAAGGGGAGGCAGGTTATCAGCCCTGAGGCAAGGTCAGAAAGGGAGTCATATGAAGGAACAACAGGAACCTCAAGCAGAGCCCTAGCTGGTGTGGCTCAGTTGGTTGTAGTGTTGACCGGTACCCTGAAAGGTCAGTATCCAGGTTGCAGGTTCAATGCCCAGTTGGGGTGCATGAGGGAGGCAATCGATCCATGTTTCACTCTCATATTGATGTTCATCTCTCTCCCTCCCTCTGTCTCATATCTATAAAAAGCACATCCTTGGGTGCAAATTAAAATAAAATAAAATAAAATACCCCATGCAGAGTGGGATGGTCATCCATTTAGGAGCGTGGTGCAGAACAGGGTTTTAGGGTCCCAGAAGGGTATACCCTCCATGCTCTGAGGTAGCATGGTGAGGGGAATTCTCTACCTCTGCAGGGCAGAGAGCATCTCTGCAGAGGGATGAGCAGGGCTGATGTACCAAAGAGGGAGAAGAGAGTGTCCAGAGTGGCCCCCTGGCCTAGAGGTGTCAGAACCCAATCAGGTTGACAAGGAGTCCCTATGGGAGGGCAATCCATCCTGAGGTCTCAGAGTCTGAGTGGGAACAAAGAAGACCAGGAAGAGCAGCCTGTCACAGGATAGCAGAACCTAAGCCGTTAAAAGGGAATCCCGGAGATGGGTGACCTGATGTGAGGAGTCACAAAGAAAGCAGGGTGAGGAGAGGATCCTGCAGCCTCACATGGGATGCCCAAGCCTGAAGAGAGTGAAGAAGGTGTTCACAGGGAGAGCCAACATGGGACGTCA